GTTTTTATCCAATATTTCTCTTTTCCTCAGTCTTCCTTTCAAAATTATTATTTAAAAAAAAACTACTAACTTAAATTATAAATATTTTTTAGAGTTAATATTTTTTGAATCTATTATAAATCTATATATATAATATATCGAATTTATCATCTCTTGATGATTTTGACATCTATATTTTACATACAAAATTAGATAAACAATTACATTTACCTTTATAATAAAAGTAAACAATCTATTAATGTTATTTGGAAAAATTAAATTACTTAAATTAATTTAACAACTATGTAGTTACATGATTTATAAAATAAAAAATATTTTAATATAATATAAAATGAGTAAGCCTTTTAACTAACAAGTGTTATTTTAAATGTAAATAATGATATAGTTTTTTTTTAAAAAAGTATTTAAATTTCAAAAATATTATTTTTTTTTTCATTCTTTTTCAATTGTTTTAGCAATCACATGTATAATACACGGTTATTATACTAGTCTAGAAATAAGCATAAATATTTGAATACTAGGTTTAATAGCTTAATATACACGTACATTAAAAATAGGAAATTGATAATATATGTAGTTTGAATTATATTTAAATTAATTGACTGAATCCCTGGACCCATATCCGTCATTTTCGTCGCTGTTCAAATTTCCGGATTCTCTTCGCCTCTTTGCCCCTCTCAAACAATTATACACACAAACTCCTGTCTCTATCGTACCCACCAGCCACCAGAAGTCCACATTTCAATTGCCATTATTTTTCTCTCTCGAACTTCAAGATTCTCCCTCAGCTTTCACTCCCCCATCTCAGACCTCAGATACTCGTCAGTGTTCACTCTGCCGGGGGAAAACATTTTCATCGTGCGTAGAGAAAGAGAGACATAGAGAGAGGAGAGAAAGAGGTGAGCGAGGCAATGGAGGAAGACATGGTGGAGGATACTGAGAATGCGGCGGCGGAGGAGGAGGAGGAGGAGGAGGAGGTGGATTACAGTTTCACGGTGTACGAAATTGACCTCGACTACGAGTTCGACGCGGCTCGCTTCTTCGATTTTAGCCGGGACGAGTCGCCTCTGGAGGCGCGCCAGGCGGAGCTCTGGTTCGAATCTGCCGGAAGTTATCCTCCGTCGAGTAATACTAGCTTTTCTCATTCTCTACTCTAGACAACAACCTCTAAATTCTGGATATTATTATTATTATTATTATTATTATTATTATTTTTTTTTTTT